TCCGGCGATCCTTCCACCTCAGCCTTCTGAGTAGCCGGAATGACAGGCATGCGCTACCACGCCTGGCTGATTTTTTTTGATTTATTATAGAGATGAGGTCTTGCTGCCCAGGCAGGTCTCGAACCCGCGGACTCAGGCAATCCACTCACCTCAACCTCCCAAAGGCACGGGATTACAGGCTGAGCCACCGAACCCGGCTATGTTTGTCTTTCTTTATGGCTGCATAATATTGCATTGTGTATATGTACCACAATTTTTTAAATCCAGTCCAGTTTCGATGGACAACATGGTTGGTTCCATGTTTTTGCTATTGTGAATAGAGCTGCAACAAACATACCTGTGCAGGTATCTTTTTTGTAGAATGATTTGAGTTCCTCCGGGTATATACCCAATAGGGGGATTGCCGGATCATATGGAAGGTCAGTTTCTAGTTCTTTCAGAAATCACCACACTGTTTTCCAGAGAGGTTGCGCTAGTTTGCATTCCCACCAGCAGTGTAGAAGCGTTCCTTTTTCTCTGCATCCTCGCTAGCATCTGTTGTTTTTTTTTAATTAATCATGGCCATTGTTTCTGGGGTTAGATGGTATCTCAGTGTGGTTTTGATTTGCATTTCTCTGATGATGAGTGAGGCTGAGCACTTTTTCATGTGTCTGTTGGCTACCAGTATATCTTCTTTTGAGAAGTGTCTTGAATAAGCTTTAAAGATCATGCTGTGGCACTTAGTAAATGTGCACTGTGCCATGATGCCTGTTTTGTTTTTGTTTTCGTATCACACTGAAAAGAAAGCTAACATAATTTCACTTAGTCCATGTGTTCCTCTACTGCCACCCAGGGGTGATAATTTTAATGAAAATGATTCACTAGCTATTCCCTTGCAAATAGAGTCATATCTTCATCACTGAGTCAAATCCTGACACCCATAAGTACAGTGGCAATAACACTAGACTTGGAGTTGACAGACAAAGGTATTAGGTCTGTCTCTGCCAATAATTAGCTGTGTATGTTATGTTGTGATGTTATTCAGGGTTCATATTTCTGGGTCCTCAGTTTTCCCATATGTAAAATAAAGAAGCTGAATTAAATTCAGCACATTTCAATTAACAAATACTTATTGGGTTAAGCCCCTTCTGTGAAGAGTCTCAGCATAAATGCTATCAAGAATACAAAAATGAATACGACAAGTTCCTGCCTTCTAAATGCATAAACTATAATTGGAGGGAAATAATCTATAGGCAGATTGTGTGTGATGTAAGCCATAATAGATAGACAGATAAATGCTGTGCTATGCCTATTGATTGACTCATTGGTTCACTTTCAGAAAATAATAAAATTTCTGAAGCCATTTTCCAAGAAACTTTCTCAAATAAGTAGATTTAAAATACTCTCTTTTAACACAATTCTGATGTCATCATGTGATTCTGTATAGGATCAGAAAAAGACTGGTATAAAGGATGTTACTGAGACTATTTCAATTGAGACTCTATATTTAGTAAGAATACTGTTAAACTTCCTGAATGTGAGTATTGGACTATGTCCTGGTTCATGCAAGGTTTACTAAAGTGATTAGGGGTAAAGGATCATGACATCCACAAGGGGTTCAGCAATAACGACATTAAGGATTATGGAGGGAGTTAGTGATAAAACAAATCTAGATGAATCTAGGGAAAGGGCATATGAGAGTTCAGTTAGTAGTCTTGCAACTTTTCTGAAAATTTGAAATTTTTTCAAAATATGGATTTTAAAAATATATCATTTTTGGATTTATAATCTATAATATTCAGTGATCTATCACAGAGACAAAAACAGAGTACAACATATTCTTACTCATAAGCTATAATACCTAATCCTGAATTATACCCCACATCTTTAAAAAAATTAAAAAAGAAAATATATTATTTAAAATGTCAAAGGATAAAAAAATACATCATTTTATATATTAAAAAAATGCTTCCAAACATTCAAGTTAGCTCCTTTGGTAGAAGAACATACAAATGCAATGGAAAATGGATTTGTTTTGGCAGCTGGCTATGCCAAACCAGGTCCCTGGTGTTCCCATAGGCAGGTCCCAAGCCAAGAGCTCACATGTGGCCTGGGTAGTCCCTCAGTTTCTTGTATTAATGCTTCTTTGTTCTTACTTATTCTAACTGCAAGTAAATTAGCATTTCTCACAGAAGCAGTGTAGAAACAGGGCCAAGAGAATAGGACACTATTAATAAACTCAAAGCTGGCAAGAGAGCTGAGGGCAATTGGGAAAAATTATTTAGCAGGATTGTCTCAGACATGCCAGCATAAGTGCTGTGGAACCGTAATGCGAGTGGGCATAATTTTAAAAAACCATCCAGAGAAACAAAAATACAGACAGATAGATTTGACTAATGATAGTAATTTTTTCTGTCATTCAAAAGGCACTTTGATTTTAAACTTTCAAATTGATAATAAGTATTAGCGTTAGTAAATTGGATTTACCATAATAACTGGTAATTACAGTTCTGATCTTATTTCTGTGTATTTTTAATAACAGGAGTTAGAGTCCGAGAGGGTTAAACTTATGGAGGATGTTACTTTTAATAAACGGAAGATGAAAGAACTTGAAGATAACCTCCTCTATAAATTAAGTGCTACAAAAGGTATTGTGTTATTAAGAAGTAATGAAATAACGCATTCTGAATACCTCTTACACTCTTGTCAGTGCCCTCGTGACTACAGATGTTAGGAAATAGTCGAGTTATCAATGCAAAAACAAGCAAAGCAATTTCCGCCTAGACATTAAAAAGGAACTGCAGAGAATCTGACTTTTGAATTAGCAAATAAAGCCTGAGTATCTGAGAATAACACAATTTTCTTGATATAATTGCTCTCTCCTGAGAAAATAAGGGTTCCCAACAGAGCCAGGTAACTCATTATAGGCTAATTTGCTTGCCCAAAGGAAACTAATGTGCTCAATCTACTTTTTTTTTTCTGGATTGACTCTTTGATTTGGCATTGAAATGCAGTTACCACAATGTGACATGTCATCTGTGTCAGAGGAGCTTGGGTACCAGGAGCCCAGTTTACTCTCATCTTCCACTTAGAAGTAAAAGATAGGCCTTCCTCTGGGCAGCCATATCATCATACCACATCCTGATTTGAGGATGTACTCTTTCTGCGATATATACAAAGAAAATTGTATCAAAAAATAAATAAAATCAACAAACAACATATTATTCTGTAGTAGACAAATCGCAGCCACCTAAATTCCACCACTTATTAGTAGTCTAATAATGAATACTTCCTCACAGCAATTTAATCCCCAGATTTAAAAAAAAGTCTTGCCTGTAGTCCTAGCTACTCAGGAGACTAGGCAGGAGGATGACTTGAACCCAGAAGTTCAAGGCTGCCACAAGCTGTGATCCCAGGAGTTCAAGGCTGCCATGAGCTGTGATCATGCCACCGCACTCCAACCTGGGCAACAGATGACACCCCTGATTCCCCCCGCCCAAAATGCCTTAACCTTTTATAAGTACTATACCTTTAAAATATAGAGTTTAGTGGGAAAAAAATATCCCTCTATCTGCCTCAATTGCATTGCTTCTGCTTGTGAAGTTGGCTATCTCTTGATCCAGTGGCTTCTGCCAGCCATTTGGGATACTTCTGGGCAATCTAAATATAGCAAGGAACGCTGAGGACTGTTTTCCTGGTCCAGCGAGGGGTGTGCTAGATCAAGACCTATTTCTTGTGAGGTTAATCCATGTTGGACTTCCTCGTCAACACAGCATGCCCGTCAGAGGAACATAGTGCTTCCTGTAGTACTTGCCTGCCACCCAGAAGTCTAGTGAGGTCAGAGCAACGCTATTGGCAGATATGGTAACTGTTAGCTCAGTTACATCCAAAGTATCTTTCCATACCTTAAAGTTGTCATAAGCACACACTATTTCTATTAAAAACAATCATGACGAGCAAAGCTAAAAATAAAATTAGGGTTTCTCTTCCTGGCAAGACGCTTCAACTGTATCTCAGTTTACTCCTGTTAGAGATGTAGAGGCAGCGGGGTTTTCCGTGGCAAGGAATGTCCTAAAGCAGTAGAAGAAGAGAATGCACCATTCAACTACCCGCTGGTCAGCCCGTGTGTGCAGTGTTCTGGTCAGCTCACACCTGAGACTAGAGGGGTGGACAAACCGGTGACATTTTGAGGAGAGCCACCAACATGATCATGGGGATGAAGGCTTAGATGTCATCTAAGGAACAGCTAAAACCACTGAAGCTGTGCCCATTGTCTTTAGACTTCTGAAGACTCATCAGATGGGTGTTTTCTTTTGTGCAGATGCTCAGGCAGAGTGGAGGACAGTCCTTCGCAGGAGTGTTTAGAAGGATTCGGGCATTGGGTGGTGGTTGGGTTTGAAGTCTTTTGATGTCTTAAGATTCTGCTCTTCTAGTATTCTTCCTGTGGACTTTGAGAAGTCAAGCTGAACATAAACAGTATTATTTTGGGAGCAGCACATCTTGCATTGTGACTTTTCTGTCTTGAATACTCCAGTTTTCCTGTTTTGATTTTTAGGTTCATTGGTAGATGACGAATCTCTCATTGGCGTCCTCCGAACTACAAAACAGACCGCAGCGGAAGTCAGTGAAAAGTTGCACGTGGCCGCAGAAACTGAGATCAAGATTAACACGGCCCAGGAGGAGTTCCGACCCGCAGCCACCCGTGGCAGCATCCTCTACTTCCTCATCACGGAGATGAGCATGGTCAACATCATGTACCAGACGTCGCTGGCCCAATTCTTGAAGTTATTTGACCAGTCCATGGCCAGGTGGGTCCTCACTTCCTTCGCCCCAAAGCAGCCACTTCAAAGTTCTGTTTGTATTTCTACTCTTCTAGAAATTGCTTTTGCCTTCTTTGATTTTTAAAAACATATTGCAGATCTGAAAAGTCACCACTACCTCAAAAGAGAATTACAAATATAATTGAGTATCTGACATACGAAGTTTTCACATACTCGGTCAGAGGCCTCTACGAAAACCACAAATTCCTCTTTGTGCTCCTCATGACCTTAAAGATTGACCTTCAACGAGGGACAGTGAAGCACAGAGAGTTTCAGGCTCTTATTAAAGGTAAAATGTGTGGAATGCAGATGTGACACGTAAAGGACTTTGCATTTGATAGGCTCTTGGATACACTGTGAACCCACTCCTCAGATATAGTATGGAAATTATGTCTTGATGAAAGTGACATTTCGCTGGGCTCGGTGGCTCAGTCTGTAATCCTGCGCTTTGGGAGGCCGAGGTGAGTGAATTGCCTGAACCTGCAGGTTCAAGACCCGCCTGGGCAACTTATTGAGACCTTATCTCTACAATAAATAAAAAAAAAAATTAGCCAGGCATGGTAATGCGTGCCTGTAGTTCCAGCTACTTGGAAGGCTGAGGTGGAAGGATTGCTGGAGCCCAGCAGGTTTAGGCTGCGGTAGCCGGGAGCATGCCAGTGCACTCCAGCTCGGGTGACAGAGTGAGACTCCAACTCAAAAAAAAAAAGAAAGTGACATCTCATTTTTTGTTTTTTTTGTTTTTTTTTTTGAAGTCAGAATCTCACTCTGTCGCCCAGGCTGGAGTGCACACGACCACCGCGGCCTCGACCAGCAGGACTCAGGCAGTCCTTCCACTTCAGCCTTCCAAGTAGCTAGAAGCACAGGCATGTGCCACCACGCCCGACTAATTTTTTTATTTATTGTAGGGATGAGGTCTTGCCAAGTTGCCCAGGCTGGTCTTGAATCCCTGGGCTCAGTCAATCCTCTTGCCTCTCAGAGGCCTCTCAAAGTGCTGAGATTACAGGTGTAAGCCACTGCGCCCGGCTTTCTTTTTTTTAATGCCTTCCCCCCCCCCCGATTTCCATTCATTTTGCTCCAGTTACTTAAGATTCAGGTCTGTGATAATGCTGTGATTTTTTAGTTTTATAGTGATATTCAGTGTATTCACTATTGCCCTTGCATGGGAGAGTCCGTGGCTCAAGTGAGGAACAGTGGTGCTGGTGATGGGCTTTTATAGCAGGATAGCAATTCCTTCAGCAAAGGAGAAGAATGATTTTTGAGACTGTAAAAAAAAAAAGGCTCACTTGTATTTTTATTTGAAGTTAATTGTATTTGTTGCTTATCTCTATGTTAAAGGTATAATTATGAAGACAAAAGAATGGTGTTTTCATTTCAGTTCGGTTACACAAGCATTTATTGAGCACATGCTATGTAATCCACCATGCTAACACTGAGAATACAAAGATAAACCAGACATTACTTTAAATGACATAATAGCCTCATAATGAGGAAAAAGATTAATTTTAAAAATAACTCCAAAACAAGGCAGAATAGCTTAAGTGCTATAAGAGAGCTAAGAAACAAAGTGTTAGGTCTCAAAGGAGAGAGAGATTTTATGTGGTTGGTGAGATTAAAAAAGCTTCTTGGAAAATATACCTTGTGGGTTAAACCGTGAATTGGAGGAATTATTTTTATACATGGTAAAAAGTGATTCAACATTTTTTCTTGTGGTTTTCACTCTTTATGTATATGTTAACAAATTATTTTCTGGATTCCCACACTCCTAAAAAAGAAAGTGGCATTTGAGGTGAAACTTGGAGAGGTAGAAATGAGGAAAACATTCTATGATGAAACAGAACAGCACGAACAAAGGCATGAGTGGAGTATGTCTAAGTTATAGGAAACTGTCTGGTTTTGTTGCAATGAAAGTTGGATATGGAGAAATTATTTTTAAAAATAGGCCTGGGCTGGACATGTAAATTAGTGACACACTGTGGAGACCCTTGATTCCTATAGGAAGGATTTTCTTGATCTGGTAAGAAACAGAGAGTTGTGTAAGGCGGTGATGTGATCTGTGTGTTCCTTTAAGAAAATGAATCTAGCAGATGTGTAAGGACTGGAGAAAAGAGGTTCAAAGGAGTCCCTTTTAAACTTCCCAACCACAAGAAATGCATTCCCAGCCTAGGGTAAAGGCAATGGGCATCTAAATTAGGAAAAAAAGTATGTAAGAGATCCAGGAGGTAAAATGGCAGCTGATGGATAGAGAGATAAGGGAGGAGTCATCAGGAATGAGTCTCAGATTTCTTGTCTATGCAGAGATTTCTGGTCTGATTTGTTGATTGGTTGGAAGAAGAGTTGGTTTGAGGGTTGGAGTAGGGGGTTGGTGAATGTGATTGTGAGACCTATTCAGTCAGAATAGGCCAGATTTGCTGCCATCAAAACAATCCCCAAATTTCAGTGACTTAACACAGCAAAGGTACACTGCTCATTCATGCTTGTGATGGTCATGTAGGAATCCAAACTGCTTTCATAACTACCATGGCAAGGGACAAATATGGGGCAGATTATGCACTGTCCCTAAAAGTCACCCCACAAGCCACAATGTCATTTATGCTCATATTCCTTAGCCAAAGAAAGGCACACACACTCGTGCTTGGAAGGTGGAGAAACTGAGTGTTTGTGACTAGCTCTGGTGACTCCACAGACATGTTGAATTGAGATTTTCAGGAGACAGAAAAGATAACCCAGAAAGTTTGAGAAGTCAGACAGCTATAAAGATGGGGTATAGAAACTAACAACCAAAGCCTCAGGAATGAAAGAGGTAATCTAGGTGGGCCATGCAGAGTGTTTCCAAGTTCATACAACAAGGTGACAGGACATGATACACCTTTATCCTCTGCATCCTATTTATAATAAGCAGGCAGTCACCTATAACTTCTTCTTGCTTTCTGTACTTCATTTAATTCCTTCCTCAGATCCAGGTTAGATTATCACTGTGGAAACTTTGCAAACTGTTTTACATAATCCCTGAAATCTTTGACTGTGTCTTCTTCGTAAACACAGGTTTTATTTCTTGTCATTTCAAGGAAGTTGGAACATGTCACCTGCTTCATATTTTTCTCAGGTCTAATACACGTGGAGAGGCTGGTGTCTTCAGGTTCATGTAGGAGGAAGGTGGTGTGGTATGGTACGTGCTAGCAACCAGGAAATCAAACAGGGCTCAGCCACTGACTAGCCATGTGATCTGAGGGAGTGATCACCTGAGGGCCTGGAGGGAAGCAATGGATACTGCCTTGGTGGGAGAGGGGGAGAGGTGCTACCACAGAGCATCCTGACCGTTGGGGTTTGGGTCTTGGTGGTTTCAATAAAATGATTAAGAGTTTACCAACTCTAGAAAGCTACTTTGACTTCCTTCAGAAATCTACAAGCCCTCACTTGGCCTTGGGGCTGGTAGTCTCTGTTGTGGGACACTGGCAGGAAGGAAGGGGGTATTTGAAGCAGTAGCAGCAAAATGCCCCTCCCCAACTTGGGAAAGCCTTCTGTCTTCTGCTATGGTTTGAAGTTTGTGTCCTCTCCAGAATTAATATGTTGAAATCCTAATCCCCAAGGTGATGGTATTTGAAGGTGGGACTTTTGGGAGGTGATCACCTTAGGAATGGGATTTATACCCTTATAAGAGAGGCTTGAGGGAGCTCATTCACCCCTTTCACCATGTGAGAACACAGCAAGAATGTGCCATCTGTGAACCAGGAAACAGGTGCGCACCAGATACTGAACCTGCTGGGGTCTTGACCTTGGACCTCTGTGGGAAATAAGCTTCTGTTGTTTAAAAACTACCTGGTGTGGGGGGTATTTTCTGACAGCAGGCCAAATGGACTAAGATGCAGTGCAATATAAGCGGGAGGGGAAGTACTCTTTTGAATCTTTCCTTATTGGTCAGCTGGCTCTGCTGCCTGAATGCTGCCTGTCAATACGGTCCCTGGGAATGAGACAGATATGATGCAGAAGAAGTTGGAAACGTGGTGCCCTGGTCCACAGTGGGTGGTAGGAAGGAAAAGGGAGTTGGTGGTAGAGCGAGGAGGTCGAGGCCAACATCCTCATCTCTCCTTTGCATTCTAAGGGTGTTGGAGAAGCTTCCAGATAGGAGATGCCCCTGCAGGCTGCCCAGTGTGGCACCCACCATGGAAACGGAGTTATAGTGTTGAGGGAGGAGAGGAGCTTAATGCGTGAGCCTGGGGTTTGGCAAGTAGGAATGTGGCGTCATGCAAATGTTGAGGGGACTGGCATATAGCCGGGACCTGGGGTTCAAACCAAGAAGCTGCAGGACAAGTGCACTTTGTAACGGGAGGCAAAGGACCAGCACCAGGTGCTTGGGCTGTAGATGGGAGCCCAGTCCCCCTGTGGGTCAGTCACAATTTGTAGTCACTCAGAGGATATAGTACAGGATCCAGCCTGTGACTGAGGCACGAGGAACCTGGAGGACAGCATGCAGATCCGAGGCATGCTCCCCACCAAGATATAATCACCCCATCTCACCTCTTCACCTAGCAAACCAGCCAGGCCACAGCTATTACCCGCAAGAAACTGGGTTCTTTAAACAAAGGTAGGTGAATCAGAGGAGACTAAGAAACACAGCAGTACAGCGGGAAGATAATTTGTTAGGAGGATTAGATTTGTTACAAAAAAAAACCAAAGAAGCCTGCACACCTGGGTTGTGATGTGAGCACATTTCATAGAAGTGGGAAGTCAGAGAGAACCAGATTGTACAGGGCCAAGAGAGCCAGTGAAAGGTGTTTGGATTTAAGTTAGCTGGCACTAGGGAGTCATTGAATGTTTTATGAGCAGGGACGTAACATGACTAGAGTAGTGCTTTAAGAAGATTAATTTGAGATTGTATGATAAACTGATTGACAGAAGGACAGCTCAGCAGTAAGAGTTTTTCTTTTTAAACACAACTGGTTTATTGTACAGTTTGTTTTGGTTTTGAACTTGCATTTTGACTGTATTAATGTTTTAAAAGTTGGCATGACTGTTTTTAAAGTTTTTTACAAAGTTAACAAATATGGCCCTTAGAGGAGAGATACTTAAAAAAATTTTTTTAAATCATTTTGGACTCAATGCTTAAGGGGGGGAGTGAGTTATTTATCATAGCAGAAATGTTTGATTTCCCAAGAGTGACAGTCCTCTTGTTTCAATTACTACTTGCTTTCTGCAATATTTACAAGGTGCCTTTGACTTTCTTCTTCAACCAAAAATGTCAGAACACTTTGAAAAATGAAATGGATACCAGGGGCATTCCTGCATTACAGAGCAATTGATGTACTTGTTTTCCCTGTCTGGTTATTTTAGAAAGATGTTATCTTCCTTTTGTCATAGACCATGAACAAAAAGACATTTTAGGGGGTCTGTTGTTGCCTTCCAAGTTGGACTGAACCTGGGCCTTCCCAAGGGGCAGGGGAAGGGGGGAGGGAGAGAGAGAGATTGGGGGGGGTGTGGAGAGAGAGTGAGAGAGAAAGCATGAATAATGTCAAAGTAACAGTTAATGATTACAGATCTTTTATTATGAGGCTAGACCTTTCCAAGCCTTCTACATACATTAATTTATTTACAGCAACCAGTCTGGTAGATTCTGCCATTACATCCATTTGTCCACTTGACAGATGACAAAACCAAGAGGGATTCATGTTCCTTGTCTGAGTTTGTGTAGCTAGTATGTTCCTTGTCTGAGTTTGTGTAGCTAGTATATGGCAGAGTGAGCCAGGGTATTTTGAGGAATAAGATGGACTGTAATTGTTCTGGGTTAGTTCAGGTGCACAGTATGTTTGGAAACACCAAGGTAGCTTAGGTGCCTTCTCCTGGTATCCCTAGAGGTCATGCTTACATGAAAACATTTCTTTCGAGACCACCATGAAGAAAGGGAATGAGTTTGTCTCTGTGGCAGAGTAGCAGAATCTGTGAGACCACAGGTGGTATCTCTAGTGGCTGTTCCTTCGACCAGTAACTCTTATATCAGCACCCAGCAGTGAGACTTCCTCTTTTACCAGGTTGCAGGGGCTGGGTAGGGAGAGGAAGGTTTACTCTGAAGATGTTGTGGCACTCAGATGAGGCCAGGTGCTGTGGGGTCATGCCTGTAATCCCAGCACTTTGGGAGGTAGAAGCAGGAGGATTGCTTGAGCCCAGGAGTTCAACACCAGCCTGGGTAACATAGTAAGGCCCCATTTCTACACACATACATACATACATACATACATACATACATACATACATACATACATATATAAGCCAGGCATGGTGATGCACACCTGTAGTCCCAGCTACCAGAGAGGCTGAGGTCGAAGGATCACTTTGAGCCCACGAGGTTGAGGGTTTGGTGAGCCATGATTGTGGCTGGGCTACAGAGTGAGACCCTTACTTGAGTGCATATACCATCTCAGGACAATGCTGGGTGAGGAGAGCAAAGATCTGTAATTACCCACCCCTCTTTTTTGCCCAAGAGTTGATTTGTGAATAGGAATGATGCATTCTTAAGGAGGATTATATGATTTAAAAGTTCAAGAGTTACTGTTTTGGATACATCTGAACTCAACAACAGAGGAGGTAAAATAATTATGGTACAGCTTTACTAAAGACATGCAGTAGAGGAATTTTGAAGTTGTAAATGTAATCATAAATTTCATTGGAAATTGAAACAAATGGCCACATTGAATATGCTCATTCGACGTGTGATTGACCTCGGAATATGATCCAGCGCTCTAACTCCCATTCTACACTAGATTACAAGCTCCCTGAGAGCAGAGGCTGTCTGGTTTTCTCTGCTGTATTCCCAGTGCCTGGAACATGCCAGTTACATAGATGGTGCTCAATAAATATGTGTTCACTAAATGAATAAGTGGTCTGAACATTAGTCACTGCCTAAAAAAAAACCCATGGAGACATTATATCCCTCCCTCCTTCACTTCTCTTCCTCTCTGCCTCTTTCTTTTCTTTCTTCTCTCCATCCGTTTATCTGTCCATCTATCTGACCTGGTAATAAATAGTTTTGAATATCCAACTTCTGGAGGAGTAATGACTAACTAAGGAGTGATTTTAAAAGTCGCACATGAAAAGATTCACGTATTAATTGATATCAAAATTATAAATGTCAGTTTGTTAAAAAAGAAAGAAAGAGGCAAACAATCATAACCACCTGAGAAAAATTCTATGCAGGGAAAAATGACAAAGAGTTTACCATCTGTATTTTATTTTATAAGATGGTATAAATCAGTAGGTAAAACACTAGGACTTGGAGGAAATGTACTAAAAAAACCACACAAAAGCGAAACAAAACACCAAGGTTTCTGTAATACTATTGTTTTCCAATTTCCCCATGTTTTCTCTTATATGGTTGACTCATTTTGTTGATTTGGAAACTAAATGTCTAAACACCAAGCTCAAGCTGAGCTGATTCACACTGTCTGACGCCTCCCAGGTGGAGCGGCTCTGGATCTGAAAGCCTGCCCTTCCAAGCCGTTTCGCTGGATCCTCGATATGACTTGGCTGAATCTCGTGGAGCTGAGTAAACTTCCACAATTTGCAGAAATTATGAACCAGGTAATGTGATAAAGAGCTGGCGAAGAGGGCAGTTCTGTAAACACCAACACACCCAGGCCATTTAAACTAAGGCCTTCTGCTGACACTTTCTTCAACCCAGGGAGTCCGCCCAATAGTGTGCATTTAAGGCGCTGTGGCTGTCTGGGGAAGATCTGGGACAGACAGACCTCAGAGTTAACCTCGCCATAGGTGCGGGCAACTTTTTATTCCTCCTGCGTGGTAGAAACGGGCATGGTATGTGTCTGTTTGGGCAACTGCCAGGATTGAGTAATTTGTACTGATTTGCATTTGAGGCAAATTTAGAGTTTGAGGTCCTTTTCAAAAGAATCATTTCAGGCCAGGTGCAGTAGCTCACACCTGTAATCCTAGCAGTTTGGGGGCCGAGGTGGGAGGATCACTCGAGCCAGGGAGTTCAAGACCAGCCTGGGCAACATAGTGAGAGTTTGTCTCTATAAAAAAAATAACAAAATTATCCAAGTATGGTGGTGTAGTCCCAGTCCAGGAGCCTGAGGCAGAAGGATCACGTGAGCCCAGGAGGTCGAGGCTTCAGTGAGCCATGATTGTGCCACTGCATTCCAGTCTAAGCCACAGAGTGAGACTGACTCAAAACAAACAAGCAAACAACAAAATAATTATTTTACTAGTGACAGTATAAAATGGTGAAATATGATGGTGAAAATGGTGAAGCACATACTGATTTCGGTTCACCTGTTGTTGCTTTTTCTTATTTGAAAAAGAAATTGGTTATTGTGGATTAGTTTTTGATTCAACTATCAACAACTCAGAATAAAGGTAGTTCTTTATTACTGGGGTCTGTTTGGTTACAACTGGCTGTCATTGACCACTGATGGGGCTTGCCCTTTGTCAGTATCAAATGCTGATACTCATCTCTTTTCTGTGCCTACTAATAGTCACAGTGGGGCTGTCGGTAGACAGTGGTAGGCAGAGGCCTCACATTGTAATCAGATCTCCCGCCCAACGTACTGCATTAGCTCTGTCTACTTAGTGGTATTTCTGAAACACAGTAGACTCTACCTATTCAGCCATGGTTGGGTCCAAGTTAGTTTAATAAACTCCTGGGCTCCATCTGTGGGTGGACATGGAGCTTTGTTTTATAGTACAGCCACAGGTGAGTCCTCGAAGCCCAAACAAATACTTGGAAAAAGAAAGTGATCTGGGTCTTGTAGGAAACTGGGTGAGGGGGAATCTTCAAGCATCACTGGAAAAATCACTCATATGTAGAAATTCTCACCCCCCAGGTGATAGACTATTTTGAAATAAGGATATTTTTAATTGTTGGCCTTTGCCAATTATGTTTTAAATACTTGTGGTGTAGAATCCGGCAGCTATTACTGCTGACTATGGAGAGCCTGTTTGGAGGACCTGGGTGCCAACAGCCCCACCCCACTGCACCTGTACTTGTGCACTGCTACCCACAGCGCCCCCTGCAGGCCTCCTCCACACCAGCAGCCAGAAAGAAGCAGGCACAAGGAGAAAGCGGATGACTATTCTGCAGCAATAGCCCTGTAAGGGAAGTATTGTTGACCCCACTTTATAGATGAGAAAACTGAGATTCAAAGAGGTTAAGTACTTGCTCAAGGCCACATAGCCAGTAAGTGGCAAAGCTGTGATTTGACCACTCCTCTTACAACATTGGCTGAAGTCTGGGGAGGGAGGAGCAGTTTCAGGAAGGTTGCAAAAGTTCAGTAGGGGCCTGCAGTCAGGTGGTCATTGGTCTGGCCTGTTTGTGGGAGGGAAGAGAGGAAGTAGAAAAAGATCAATCTCCCAGCTGAGTGAGTGTCAGGAACCGAAACAAAAATAACCTCAAACAGCAGCTGCCCTGGCCTTGGCAACCCAGGCCTAACTGTTTAACACCTGGAAGTGGTTTGTGCCAAGAGGTGAGGGCCAGGAAAAGGAATGGGAAGTGGAGGTGGACAGCAAGGGGCTGGAAGTCATCCCATTGTCCATCACAGATGCAGCTCACCCCAGAAGCTCTAATGTGGTCACGTCAAAGCCAGCAAGTGGAAGGCCGGTGGGCTGAGAACAGTCTTCTGCTTTCTCCTTGTGCCTGCTTCTCTCTGGCTGCTGGTGTGGCGAAGGCCTGCAGGGGGCGCTGTGGGCAGCAGTGCACAAGTACAGGTGCAGTGGGGTGGGGCTGGCGGCACTGAGGCCCTCCAAACAGCAGGAAGGATGATTCTTTGAGGGAAGTCAAGCAGGGAGAGTCACTGCCATCTTCAGGAGAAAGACGCAGTTGTGAAACACTTCAGAAATCTCCATCTTTTAGTGCCCCAGGGACAAAGTGGGAGCAACCAAGGTTTTTTTTTTTGGATTTTGAGTAACTGGTTTTTTTTATTTTGCACTCTGTATCCTGTATGATGAATTGTTCTCACGATGTGTGACTTTGGGCAGATGTGTGACCTCTCTATGCCGCAATAAAGTGAGGATAATAGAGAAAAAATGTAATCCTCGGTCTGGCATATAGCATCTGCTATATGAGGGTGTGCTGTTTGCTAATAGTGCTTTCCATGACTTTCTAAAAAGTGCTTACAAACACTGTCTAAACAATCCAGCCTGATTCTTACTGGAGAGCAGTGACAGGCTCAAGAATCTATAGTTTTCATAATTAGTCTTGATGGCACTTGGGCTGCAAGGAGCATCTTCAAATGCATCTCAAAACCTGAGGCCCTTTCTATGCTTTGGAAAGATATTTGAGATCAGCTCTTGGAGAGATTTGTTCCATCCCTAGGTTTAAGGTCTCAAGGTGGGGGATGACTAGAAAAATATGTTTTGATTTTGTTTTCTATCATTATTTTTTAAAATTGAAAGATGTGGGGTACAATTCAGAGTTAGGTGTACAAATGTTCATTATTCAGGTACCCTTGTTGATGAGGTGTGCCCCCCTCTCCTGGCAGTATCCCACTACTGCTGATCCCACCCCCACCCCTGGCAGTTTCCCACTACTGCCAATCGCTTTCTTATACTATTATATGATAATTGTTCAAGGTCCGCTTCTGAGTGAGAACATATGGTACTCTGTTCTTTGTTTCTGTGATAGATCACTGAGTATGACAGACTCTAAATCCATCCAAGATGCTGTGAAGTTCATGTTTGTCCTTCTTTATGGCTGGATAATATTCCATTTTTTAAAATCCAGTCCAGTTTTGGTGGGCAGCACAGTTGTTTCCATGTTTTTGTTATTATGAATAGAGCTGCAACAAACATACATGTACAGGTATCATTTTTGTAAAATAATTTGAGTTCCTCTGGCTATATTCCTAATAAGAGGATTGCTGGGTCATATGGAAGGTCAATTTCTAGTTCTTTCAGAAATCATCACACTGTTTTCCAAAGAGGTTGCCCTAGTTTGCATTCCCACCAGCAGTGTAGAAGCATTCCTTTTTCTCTGCATCCTTGCCAGCATCTATTGTTGTTTGTTTTATTAATGATGGTCATTCTTAGTGGAGTTTAGGTGGTATCTCAGTGTGATTTTGATTTGTATTTCTTTCGTGATGAGTGAGGCTGAGCACTTTTTCATGTGTCTGTTGGCTGCCCGTATATCTTCTTTTGAGAAGTGTCTATTCATGTCTTTTGCCCACTTTTTTTGTTGTTGTTTTTGAGTTGGAGTCTCACTCTGTCACCCAGGCTGGAGTGCAGTGGCATGCCCACAGCCACCCCAGCGTTGACCTGCTGGGCTCCAGCGATTCTTCCGCCTCAGCCTTCCAAGTAGTCAGAACTACAGGCACGTGCTACCACACACAGCTATTTATTTATTTATTTATTTATTGTAGAGATGAGGTCTCACAAAGTTGCCCAGTCTGTTCTCGAACCCACACGTTCACTGAGATTACAGGCTGAGCCACTGAGCCTGGCCTTGCCCACTTTTTAATGGGGTTGTTTGTTTTCTTTCGGCACGTTTGAGTTTCTTGTAGGTCCTAGATGTCAGGCCTCTCTGAGATATACAGTTGGCAAATATTTTTCCCCGTCTGTGGTCTGTCTCCCCGCTCTTGATGATTTCTTTTGCTTTGCAGAAACTTTTCAGTTTGATGAGGTCCCACTTGTCTATCTTATCTCTTATAGCATGGGCATTTAGGGTTTTGATCAGGGATTGGTCTCCAGGTCCAATTTCCAAAGGGTGTCTCCTGTGTTTTCTAAGATTCCTATAGTTTGAGGTTTTATGTTTAGGTCTTTGATCCATTTAGAGTTGATTTTTGTATATGGGGATATGTGGTCAGTTTTCCCAGCACCATTTACTGAATAGGTTCTCCTCTTCGCGGTGGTTGTTGTTGGAGGCTTTGTCAAAAATGAAATTGAGGTTTTGCTTCCGGAATCTCTATCCTGTTCCATCTACTGGGTAGTGGCCAGGATGCTGCTTAACACCCTGCAATGTCTAGGACAGCCCTCCACAGCAAAGAATTATCTAGCAGAAATATCGGTAAGACCAAGGTTGAAAAACCTTGATCTGTGTTTCTTCTGGCTCAACCATTTGGTGTAATTGATATACAGTGCTAATTTTAACAAATAAATATAGAAAAACTGAAAGGAAACAGTAATATTCATGTTATTTGAGTCACCAGCTCTGAAGAAAAGTTTAAACTGTGTTATTATGCTTGAAAAATTATCTGCCTGTAAGGAATGACCCTCTAAGGTTATTCAGGATCCTCTCCAGTATATTCTGATCACATATATTTCTTTGGCTTGCTAATTGTCTTTTTCTTTTAGATATCTCGTAATGAGAAAGGGTGGAAAAACTGGTTTGATAAAGATGCTCCAGAGGAGGAAATTATCCCTGATGGATACAGTGATTCACTAGACACCTTTCGCAAACTCTTACTCATCAGGTAAGAATAGGTGTTATCAAATCTAGACACATCATTCTTCATATCAGTAAATTACAGAGCTTACCTCAGTGAGTTTACTTCTCTGTGTCCCTGTAGTTATTTTAAGAAACATTGTGTGCTTCCAAATTGTAGTTTGGATGGCAATTCTTCAGTTCCTTGACAAGCAAAATAAAATTGTGATGATGGCAGGGAATGATGTATTTTGACTATGTATTAATTATAGTGCTTTTAGCAAAAAACATGAAAAATTATTGTTTTATTATTCACTTTGTTCATTATTTACCATTGAGTGAATCATTGATTGTTGAATTTACTTAAAAAAAAAAAGACCTCACTAAGTTACAAGGCAATTCATTTATAAGCTAAAATTCAATTTCATTTGAGAAAAAAAACCCCAAGAATATTGCACTATTGAAATATATAAATGCTGCTTTGGCTATTAAAATGAAAACAAAAGTTTGACATTGATTTTGAGGAAAAACATTCTCCATCCTTCTCACTTTTTACATTTTCTCAATACCCAGTAGCTCAAAGAGGCCTTCTATATTGGAAAAATCAATGTGTGTGTGTGTGTGTGTGTGTGTGTGTGTGTGAAAAAGAGAGAGATTGGTGGGTAAGGCAGAGGGGTCGAGTCAGGGGAGATGAGGCCACCAAAATAATAACAAAAAGATGTAGGGTTATTTTGGAGCAGTTTTTGTCTTTCCTAATGTTATATACCCTAGCTTGCTTACCTTAGAAAATATTTCCTGGATGTTGTCAGGCTTTAGTAGTGATCAGAATGGCAGCAGTGGTGACCCCATCGTCTCAGGGTATGAAAGGGCTTCTTGTTTCATCGGATCAAATAGGTCTTTTTTTAAAATTCATCACTTTAAAATGGGATGTGGCCAGGCACAATTGGGAGGCGAAAGGATTGCCTGAGCCCTGGGGTTTGAGACGAGCCTGGACAACTTGGTGAGACCTTGTCTCTACAATAAATCACACACACACAAAGGCTGGGCGTGGTGGCTCAAGCCTGTAATCCCAGCACTTTGGGAGGCCTAGGCGAGAGGATTGCCTGAGTTCATGGGTTCAAGACCAGCCTGGGCAACTTGGTGAGACCTCGTCTCTACAATATATCAAAAAATTAGCCGGGCGTGGTAGCACGTGCCTGTAGTTCAGCTACTTGGAAGGCTGAGGCGGAAGGATCGCCTGAGCCCAGTGGGTCGACACTGGGTTGGTCATGAGTGAACCACTGCACTCCAGCCTGGGCGACAGAGTGAGACTCTGACTTAAAAAACAAAAAACAAAAAAACTAACCAGGCGTGGTGGTGTGCATCTATAGTTCCAGCTACTTGGAAGGGTGAGCAGAAGGATTACCTAAGCCCAGCAATTTGAGGCTGCAGTGACCGTGAGTGTGCCACTGTGCTTCAGCCTGGGTGACAGAAGTGAGATGCCAACTCAAAAAAAAAAAAAAAAGGCGGGAGGATCTATGTCAAATGAATAGTGTAATCTACAAGCAAATAAGAATCTGTAGAGCTTGTCTGTGATCTAACATATCAAATATCAAATGATGTTAATTTAATGTGTCTCTGTGTGTAGAACTTACTATGGTGTGTGGTACACAAATGGTATGATGTAAATGCTTGGTGATCAACTTACTTTTGACATCTTTGTCACATTGGTTCTTCCCTGAAGACTGCAGAGCTTTATTGTGTGGCACGTCAGAGCTGGCAGAGGACACTGTATTGTCACTGACTCTGTTCTACTTTTTGCCAACACCTGGCACCAAATTATTTGACTATTTTTCCATTCATCCAGAGATAATTGGAAATCTTGCCATCTCTCTTACACAGAGATCTGGATGAGAAGAATTAAGTTGTCGTCCTTTTGCTAATTAAATACATGTTCTTTACCTGCTCAGAGTTATATAGAATTTGAAAATGCTGAATTTATTTTCTCTAACTTGTACTCATTTTTAGATCTTGGTGCCCAGACCGTACTGTTTTTCAAGCAAGAAAGTATATTGCAGATTCTTTGGAGGAAAAGTACACAGAACCAGTTATCTTAAATCTGGAAAAAACCTGGGAAGAAAGTGATACTCGAACACCCCTGATATGTTTCCTGTCCATGGGATCTGATCCCACCATTCAGATTGATGCATTGGCCAAGAAACTGAAACTGGGTATGACTAGCAATCTAGGAACTTTAGTAATACTTCCATATTTTTGCCCTAAACTGTAAAAGTTTTATAACTGATTCTTAGAGCTATATCTGTAAAACTGAGTTAAAAAAATATTAAACTTTTTCCTCTTTCATGCTTGAATACGTCCTAGAATGAGGGTGTGATATTGTTATCTTTGTGTGAGAGGAACACACTCATCTACCATATACTGTTTTTCTGGTTGATATTTTTGAGATTGCTGAGTAGTGATGTTGAGCTTTCTTTTTTTTTTCATGTGGTATGATCATTTTACTTTCTAAATTGCTGCAAATACTACTTCTCTTGTCTGGATTCTCTTATCACATCTCATGTCTTCTTACAATAGACTCATTTAAAAAAAATTTAGATTCAGGGGATACGTGTGTATGTTTGTTACATGAGTATATTGTATAATGGTAGGAATTGCATTTCTAGTGTACCCATCACCTGAAAATTGAACACTGTGTCCAGTAAGTAATCATTCAACCTTTATCCTCTTCCTTCCCTCGCCCTGTTGGAGTTCCCAGTGTCTATTATTTCCATCTTTGTGTCCATGTGTGTCCATTGTTTAGCTCCCACTTATAAGTAAGAACATGCAATATTTGATTTTCTGCTTCTGATTTAGTTCTCTTAAGATAATTACTTCTGGCTCCATCCATGATTTTATTCTTTTTTACGGATGCATCGTATTTCATGGTATACATATATATGCTACATTTTCTTTATGCAGTCAACCACTGATAGCCCCTTAGATTGATTCCATGACTTTGCTATTATGAATAATTGCTGCAATCAATATATGAGTGCAGGTGTCTTTTTTTTATTACAACGATTTCTTTTCTTTTGGGTAGATACCTAGTAGTGGGATTGCTGGATAGAACAGTAGCTCAATGTTAAGTTCCTTTGAGACATAGCCATACTGTTTTCCATAGAGGTTGAACCAATTTACATTCCTACCAACAGTGTACAAGCTTTCCCTTTCTCCATATTCACACCAGCATCTGTTGTTTTTTACTTTGTAATAACAGCCATTCTGACTGGTGTGAAATGATACCTTATTGTGATTTTAATTTGTATTTCTCTGATGAGTAGTGATGTTGAGATTTTTTTTTTCATGTGTTTGTTGGCTGCTTATATTTCTTTCTTTCTTTTTTGTTTGAGAAATGTCTGTTCATGTCCTTTGCCTAGTTTTTTAAAGGGGTTGTTTTTTTTTCTTGTTAAGTTGTAGATTCTGGATATTAATCCTTTTTTGGAGGCATAATTTGCACATATTTTCTCTCGTACATTTTCTGTTTACTCTGTTGATTATTTCTTTTGCTGTGCAGAAGCTTTTTAGTTTAATTAAGTCTCATTTGTCTATTCTTGTTTTTGCTGCTTTTTGCTTTTGGGGGTCTTTGTCATAAATTCTTTGCCTACGGCTGTGTCCAGAATAGTTTTTTGTTAGGTTTTCTTCAAGGATTTTATAGTTTTGGGTCTTATATTTAAGTCTCTAATCTATCTTCTGTTAACCTTTGTATATAGTGAAAGATGGGGTCCGGTTTTATTCTTCTGCATATGGCCAACCAATTTTCCCAGCACCATGTATTCACTAGGGTGCCCTTTGTTCATTGTTTATTTTTGTCGACTTTGTCAAAGATAAGTTGTTTTTTTAAGTTTAAGCATATGGCTGTATTTCACAAATTGCCGTGTGTCTCTAAAAGTAATGCCATTTATTTTGTCACAAATTGAAAAACTATAACCATTATTGTAATGCATAAGTAGAGACTCATTCATTCATGCTTTCATTCAATAACCATTCAGTACAGACAGTGCGGTAAACTTGAGGAGTACAGAGATGAATACAACCCAGCTGGGTAAGACAGACATATAAACGTGTAATTGAAGACAATATGACAACTGCATTAACAGTATTTCATAGAAGTGGCTCATCACAGGATTCAGAGCTACTCAGACTTCCTGGGGTATTGGAGAAAGCATCACCTTGATGATATTTTGATCAGGAACTTAAATAGATAAAATTTATCAGATAGAAGGAAAGTTATTCCAGGGAGAGGAGGCAGAAAAAATTTATAAACACATAAATGTGCAGCAGTGACTGAGTTGGTGAACAAAAGTTCAGGGATGCAGAGCGCATCTTGATAAAGTTTAGCCATCCTATAAGGAGGACTGTTTATCTCCCCCCTTCATACTCTGAATTTCTGAATGTTGTTGGCATTTCTCTTTGATGTCTTCCAGATTCAGATCTTTATAACTATACCTTGAATGACTAATTCATTCAGGTCTTTATAAAGATTATAAAAGTGATTGAATATGAATCATGAAACTTATTCTGTGAAATAAAATTACACAGAATTTATTGTATGCTTAATATAAACATGACGTAAAATCAGTTCAGTCATGTCCACCTACTAGCTACATTTCCTTCTGTACAAAACCATAAGCTTATGGTAGTATGAGCTATGCTCACTTCCTCTTTTTTCATCTTGACTTTGCTCTGTTCATTGTCACCAGTGTTCGCCATGGATCCATGTTCAAATGGTCACTTTCTCCTATTTGAGCAAAAATACCCATTGCAAAGAACCTCCAGGTTCTGTTAACAATTGCTCGTGGTTAAGTCTCATTAGCCATCTGTAAAGCAGGCTGTTTTGCAGCACACCAGCCATCTGAGTTGACCTAAGAGTGGTGCCTCTTTACGAGCCTTATAGTTTGCCAAGCTCTCTCAGATTTATTGCTTTGAGTCTTTACCCAGCTATCTCTGTGCCTCACGTTTCTGTGCACATAGGTTTCTTCATCTCTCTTGCTATGAGCCATTCTTCTCTACATGATGGCTTCTGGGCTTCACTACCTACTTGCTCAGCATGTTCAGCATTCTCAGGGTAACTCCCCTTACTCTGTTGACCTGAAGTTCAAATTGGGATTAGCTTTGGTCATATGCTCCTGTCTGGGCCAATCAATGAACTGTTGCTGTGGTGATAGGTTCACAGGAGGAAGCTTAAATATGGAGCTGGGATGGGAGGCATTTATTTAGAAGAGGATGCAGTTTCTAGAAGAAGGGGTGCTCTACTAGATTTATCACTTTAAATATTGTCTCAAAAATAATGCTACTATTTAAGAATAGAATGAAGAAACTCGAGGTCTCCTTTTTGTGAGAAATTATAATGGTGACATTATATAAATACAGAAGGTCAGATATATGCTATCATCTTTAATGTTATCATACTGGTTTGCTCTGCAGTTCAGTGATTTCCATTTCTTGCTTCTATTGTGTTTTTTCCAACAATAGTCCAAGCTTCTGTTGATTTTAGCATACTAAAACAAAGTTGATTTGATTTGGACACTGAAGGACCAAATGAATTTTGTTGCCAAATCAGTTTTAGCAATGTTAGGAAGTTTCATGCTGCTTGCTGCTGTGGACTAAAAGTCCCAAAGACAGCTATTAAAATGAAACTAGATGTAGAAATAATTACATACTACTCTACTTCCAAATATCAATATCTAATTTGGAAAACTAGATAATAGATAATCATAGAATGCTTAAAATGAATACAATTCTGGAAAATGTGAAATCCAACTAACTTATTTTGCAGCTAGGGAAACTATAGTCTGGGGAGAAGGCCCCAGATCTAGTCAGTGACAGATCTGATTCAGGATTCATTTTAGGAACACCACTTCAGTGATCTCAAAGGTCTTTATTTTTCATTACTTCTCACTACTTTTAATGAATAAATAACTATTAGTTACCTGTTACCCAGACTGGAGTGTAGTGGCATGATCATGGCTCACTGCATCCTTCAACTCCTGGACTCAAGTGATCCTCCTGTGTCAGCCTCCCGAGCAGCTGGAACTACAGGTGCACACCACTACAAGTGGCTAATTTAAAAAAACTTGTTATTGTAATCAAGGTCTCACTATGTTATCCAAGCTGGTCTTGAACTCCTGGGTTGAAGCAATCCTCCCACCTCTGCCTCCCAAAGTGCTGGGATTACAGACATGAACCATTGTGCCTGGCTAAAGCAAATATTAATAGCCCTAATGAGAAAGTTAGATTGCAATACAATAACAGTAGAGGACTTTAGCACCATACTTTCAGCAATGGATAGGTCTTTCAGATAGAAAATCAACAAAGAGCCGGACTCAGTGGCTCAGCCTGTAATCCCGTGCTTTGGGAGGCTGAGGTGAGTGAATTGCATGAGCCCGTGGGCTCGAGACCCACTTGGGCAAATTGGCGAGACCTCATCTCTACAATTAAAAAAAAAAAAAATTAGCCGGTTGTGGTAGCGCGCGCCTGTAGTTCCAGCTACTTGGAAGGCTGAGGCGGAAGGATCGCCGGAGCCCAGCGGGTCGAGGCTGCGGTGGCCAGGAGCGACCACTGCACTCCAGTCGGGTGACAGAGTGAGACTCCAACTCAAAAAAAAAGAAAATCAACAAAGAAGGCTGGGTGTGGTGGCTCAGCCTATAATCCCAGCACTTTGGGAGGCCGAGGCGAGAGGCTTGCCTGAGCCCAGGGGTTTGAGATTGCGTCACAAAAAAAAAAAAAAAAAACCTAGCTGGGCGCAGTGGCATGTGTTTGTAGTTCCAGCTACTTGGAAGGCTGAGGCGGAAGGATCGCCTAAACCCAGCAGGTTGAGGCTGTGGTGACTGTGAGCATGCCACTGCACTCCAGCCTGGGTGACAAGAGTGAGTCTGACTCAAAGAAAAAAAGAAAAGAAAATCAACAAAGAAACATGAAGGTTAAATTATACTCAAGATCAAATGGACCTAACAGACATTTACAGAACATTTCATTCAAGAGCTGCAGAACACATACTCTTCTCAACAGTGCATGGAACATTCTCTAGGATAGATTATATGTTAGACCATAAAATAAGTCTTAACATATTTTTAAAAATTAAAATCATACAAGTATCTTTTCTGATCACGATGGAATACAACTAGAAATCAATAATAGGAAGAACTTTGGAAACTGTACAAATACAAATTAA